ATTGTATGCGTAACACGAGAATTTATGCGAGCAAAAAATTAATTCTATTTCAAATATCAATTAACTCATGTAATTAAATTATATTGATGTGCACTTTAAAGCTATCCATGTTTCTGTTTGAATATTTTTATTGCGGTAGGGGACGTTTTGATTAAGCCAAGAGTTTCAAATCACACCGAGATCATTTTTATTGATCGACTGTGCAAATATGAGCTTAAACCATGTTGTATGCTACTATGTGCCACGTTACGAAGCTATTTAGTGAAAAAATATTCTTGTTAAATTTAATAGACAAAACTCAAAGAAAGAAAACTTGTTCATTTTTTTGTTCTAGATCAAAATTTGTATTTTTATTCAGTGTCGCAGCTAAATGTATAGTAATTGAGAACAGCCACGCGCACACATACACAAACACAAAGGCAAGCCATTTTACAACGAGGACGATAATGTAAAAGGGAGTGAAAGAAGAGATGGAGAAAATTCCCGGACGACTAGTGCAAGAGGGGATAGCAGTAGATAAGAGGTTTTCGTTGGAAGCTGCCGCGTCGCACCGCTTACTTTTAAAGCTATATACTCGCGTGCGTAACTGGCTACACGAATAATTCCTTTGAAAAATCAGTATTTATATTAAAGTTTATAGAAATAAAGAGCTGCTGATTATTGCACTTATTTGGACACATATAAAGCGATTACAATTATTCCATTGAACTTGAAATTTAGATATTTTATATCAGATAAAAAAAAATCAGGAAATCCATAGGACAAGTCAATCTTATTCTACTTGTTATTAAATTGAATATTTTTCATTAAATATTTTTCATAGTTAGTCAAAAATAGTAGCTATAAAAAGTCGCAAACTGGAAAGATACGCTCATTTCTTTCTTTTTTCCCCTGCTATCAAATGTATATCTTCTACGCACGTAATGTAACGATTTCAAAGCAAAATAACGTGAAATATTGCACTGCTTGAACGACTGATTTTCCCCGTTCTTTATTTATGCAAGAATTTAAGATGACTTGAATTATTTCAAGCTTCGTGATCATCGAATTTTGCCAAATTATTTTTAAGCGTAACTATGAAAAATAATTATTAAATTTTATTTTATAAGTAGCTTATTTACAGAAAATCTTTTCGAGATGGTTGGAGCCATATAATAAAAAGAACAAACCTGTAGTGAGCGGAGCATATAACGTACTACAATAATGGGCTTAAGTATAGTAATAAACTAAAGTTAGGTTTGGAGCAAAATCCCAATTTAAGAGCACTTTCCTATTGTTAATAGAACCTACCTACCTACCTGTCCCTTTCTCTCCCCCTCTCCTTCTGCTCACCAAGATGAGGAGTGCAGTACTGAGCACTTGTATATGGTACACCGGAATTTCATGCTCTCGAAAGCGAGTGAGTCGGGTCCTATATATGCATAGGGTTTTTGAAATTTGCATAAATCCACGCGAGTAGAAAATCAAGTTGGCGTAATCCGCGCGTACTACTTATGGGGCGCTTGGGCGCGACTCTCTCAAGTCTGACACCCAGTCATGTATCTATATATTTATAAGCCGAGCACGCGCAACTTTGCTATATTAATTTCGGCTGATTCGATCGCGCAAAATGATGAAATGACGGTTTCGAAGAAACGTTCATTCCAAGTTGACTATCTTCCTTTTGTTTCTCTTGTTCCTTCTCGCAGCAGGTTGTGCACTGCAGCAATAGCTAAAAGGCCAACGAACCGCAAATTATACGAGATGCGCATTGTGCGAATCGCGTCGAGAGTCAGAGAGCGCAAGAGAGGGAGAAAAGAGTCAGAGGCGCCCGCCGGTAATTGACAATGACCCTCGATAATGCGTAAATACTATACCCTCGTCGCTGTTGCTGCTCTACTCTGTCGCTCGTCGTGTGCCATTGACGTTCGAGTGTTGCCGTTGCGGCGAGTATTTATAGGATATTCAACACGAGCTATAGCGCACTTAACGCGCGAAGCCCGAACTACATCATGGCCACAGCTATTATTGCGAATTTTTTTGCTTAATCACTTGAATATTATTGTCTCTCATCTCGAAGAATGTAAATTTAAATGAGGCGAGTCAAGCAAAGCGTACGTGACACCGAAAATATCACGTGCGTACAATAACATGTGTGCGCGCGCCAGCGGATAGAAAAAAGATATTTATGGCTTCATACGCTTTTTATTTCACCCTAATACACATGCACACACTCACATACACAAGGCACGTAACCCACACCCATGTCCCCTTTCACTTTTCATCTCGCTTCTCATCTATATATCGGCACTGCACGCGCAAGCGCTCGAGCTTTTGTTAAAGCTTGCTTCTCTATCTCCCTCTGCTATGCCGCCGACACCGCTGCTGCTTCTGCTGCTTTTCTCTTTCCACATTTCAGCAAAGTTCAGCAGCGTCGTTTTCCCCTCTAGCGTAAAGTATCCCTTCTACTTGTTCGCTGGCTCACCCCTCCACATATTCTCTCTCGCACTTGCTTTCTCATGCGTTTTGTTTCTTACCGGCTTTATTCTTTCGTTCAGAACAGCGTGTCTACTCGTACATGTAGACTTTGTGAAAGAAAAAAATGCCTCGTTCGATATAGTTTTTCCAGTTTTTATTCAATGTTTTTCATAAACTTTGTCATATTCTTTTGAACTCGTACATTACTAGGACGTGCTCTTTTCTTATCAGTTTCGAGAAAATCGCTTGGTAAATTTTAAAATTATTCCAACTTTTACTGCAGCCGATACAAGATTTATTTGCAAGCAAGGCTTTGTTTTAGTTGAAAATAATGATCCAAGTGACACCTGATGCCTCGTAAAAGTTTATTTGGTTTATATTTCGAGGCTCACGACTAACCAGCAACACGTTCTGCACGTATAAAATAATAATAAATAAAATAATCAAAAAATTTTCTCAAAGAAATATTAATCCGTGAAAATATAAACACATTTTTGTACGCGGTGTCACTAGCGAGTCGCTTTTGAGAAAAATAAAACAACGCCTACATACATTATAAGTCGGGTATTAAAGCGCTTCACGTCATCGAGCGGCGCAGCCTTTCGATTTTATGTAGTGGCTCGTAGTTTGTTGTTTACGAGTCGGTGCGCTTACCTACAGTGCGTTTGCACAAAGATTTTTGCAAGCTCAAACTTTTTTTACCTTCATTAACAGCAAGGCATTCACAAGTACGCATGCAAAGCAGTAGGAAAATCAAAATATTTTACTTTACAGCTTGCTGTCTTTTAGTTTGCTTGTTTGTTTCTGTCTTTGCTTCTTTGTCTGTATAATGGAAGAGCTATACTGTAGCATTTTCTTTCAAACTCTCTCGCTCTTTCTCTCTTCCGACTCGAACTTTTTTTGTTACTGCTTTGTTTTTTTATTTTATCTCTCTTGTAGCATTTATAAGGGCAAGACTCGTACGACTGGACAACAATTCTCTTTCTTCCCTAGTACAAGAGAGAAGAATGAGTAAAAGGAAGAGGATGGTTAAGGAGAGCAGCGCATACTATATAGATTATATATGTACAAATAGAGAAAGAGACGGTGGTCAAAGTTCAACTTAATGAAATGGGATTAGCTGGAGGAATATCTTTTTCGCGCGAAATTATTAAAACTCTTGAACGGATTGGTTGTGTACTCACGGGACACGGGTCGAAAATAAACTAGACGATTAAACCCTTGTCTCTTTTCTGCGAGTGTATTTGTTCCGTAGATTTCATCGGTTCGCTCGTTGCTTGTAATCGATTGGCGATGTCTCAAATGGTTCTAGCAACAGCGACCAAAAGCCTTAGACAACAATCTTAAAAAGACAACGAGACAAACGCCGTAAAGATAGGCGCGAGGTGAAGAGGAGAAATTGCATCTCTCACGCAGTAGGTCTCGGAAGTGGTTCAAACTATAAATAAAAGTAATTAGCTGCAGCAAGTATGCGCCACGTTGTCGAGAAGCTTTAACTCGTTTAATATTGCGTATAAGTATAATACGGGCGAGTTAGCCCGCGACAACTACGGTTGCTGCTACAGCCGCCGTACGTGCATGTGCGTACGTACGGTTATGTATCTAATAAAGCTCTACATTCGCAAAGAGCCCACTGTTACACGATTCTCTAGCACGTCGTTGTTGCTTTGGGCTGCCATTGATACTGCTTGTTGCTGCTTAATTTGAATATGCAACGCGTCTTTGTACGGTCGATTATTTGAGGGGCGTAATATACGTTCAAGTGTGAGTTTGCGTCCGTGTCTGAAAGAATACAGTAACTAAGCAATTTAAGAAGGAGGCTGGAAGGAAGAAGAGGGAAAACGAGTATAAACTTGAGCCGCGAGCAAAATGACAGTGATTGATAAAACTACGAGCAGAGTCTATGCGCGTATAAGTGGATAATAAAACGTACTCGCGCGCTCCCACCTATGAATGTGTATGTGCAGCGGTGTACAGTAGCTACTGTAACCGTAAATTCAACGTCTGTAATTTGCGGCTTTTGCTCTCTGTGTGCATATCTACACTCACTCACACACACACAAGTATATATACTAAAACAGTGCATATTAAAGCAGTGTGCGACACATCGCGCCTGTATGTATGTGTACTGTGCATGATTATGTGTAGCTCGGTAGCTGTATTCGATTCGAGCGCTCGATGTATCTATAGATATGTCCATGTCACGTGTACAGTAGCGCACGTCATGTGCTCGGAAATAAAAATAAAAGTGAAAGAAAAACGTGTGACGTGCGAGGACAAGCAGCACATCGATTGCCACTAGAATTGTCTTCGCTCGGGTCTGTATAAACCTTCTTCGATTATATGATGGAGTGCGTCCAGGCAGCAATTAATCTAGGATGCTTATTTTATGACTCGGCTTTTTATTGTTTTTTCCCAAACGGCTGACAAGGCTTGGAATTAAATTTTTCTAACCAGTAGTTGAATTCACAGCCAAGTTAAAAGTAAGAATCAATAAAATAAATGTAGAAATAATCGAAATGAATGCGGTAATCTGTACTAACCTCTCCATGTGTATCCTTGCGGCCTTCCGGTGTATTTTCTGGCAGGAAATACAGCCTCAGAGAAGCCAAAGGAGTATTGGGGCCTCGGTTATCAATCCAGAGTAGTTGAAGCTCGCCGATGCAGACGAGATCGGCGTCATTCCAGAGCTTCGTGAGGAAGAAACTGCCAAGTTTGAGTGCCAAACCGTTGGCGAGGCGCACGCCCTTGTAGAAGGTATAGGGGCCATGGCTAAAGCAGGAGCCACCCAGTAGCTGGAAAATGCGAAAATCAATTAATTACTCGTCGTGCCGTGAGCGAACCTAATAGTATTAATTCAGGCTACTAGGTGCTCAGTGTATAGCACCTATTTGTGGGAAAAATCAAGCCAATTAAATTTAACATTATACGTATATAATATATTATTATATGCTTTCACATAAAAGCGACGAACGTCGATAAATCATACACTTGTGAAAACGGCTCTCGGTCGTTTCGTCACTGCAGCGCAGCAAGAACATAAATTCGTTCAAATAATTTCTCGGCTTTGCGGCTTTTTCTTTTTTCGCTCTTTTTTTCCGAGCTATTAGAGAGAATGTGTTGAGCTGCTAGACACGAGCGCACAATGCTCAAACGCGCTTTCTCATTATTATCTCATTTTATAAATCAAATAATTTAGCATTTTCAGCCTACGCGTTCGTCTATACAAGCAGCGTTTATCGAGATTAAGCTGAAAATATTTTACACGTATCGTACTACACAGGTTGGCTCTTTTGTGCATCGATTCAAGAGTACTTGGACCGAAGCGTCGATTTGATACACACGCACGCACACTTAAATTGCGAGGCATCGACAGATCCAGGAAAGACTGACGTAACACCGAACGCGGGAGGATACGGTGGTTATCGCGAGCGGACATCGGCCACTATAATGAATAAACCGAGCGTGTAACTACGCGAGGGAACACGCGTGGCAGTTTGCAAGAAGGCCTGCGTGGACGTGCAAAGAAATGCCTGCTACACGTCGGCCACGCTCTCTCGACACCAAATTCACTTTCACTATTGTCTTGTAATGTGTTACGGGCATAAATATAAATGTGTTAATAAACAGCTCCGTTCGCATAGGCCTGTACACGATGTGTAGCGGCTCGAGACGTGCATTACATTAGTTAAAAATGAAATTACCCTCGGCCGACTTAGTTGCACTCGAGAGCTCAACGAGTATCGATCACAGAATTTACTGGCTCCCCATCGACGGCCTTCTGCTCCACGCACATACGCGCATACACACACACCCATAGTATGGGATTGATGCATGCCCAAGAGCGCTCGCGAATAGAAAATAAAAACCGCTACGCACTCGCTAATTGCCACTAGCAATAGTTTCTAGATTTATGTTACTGTTGATCTCTTTATTTGAATTTTTACTTCCGAGGCACGGTTGCGGCGCTCGTGTCCGTACAAAAACGATTAAAACTCAAGTATAGGTTTTATTTTCTTGGCACCCAGCTGCATCCCAGAATTCTACATACAGATTATATGCATGATTACGCACATGAGCGCACGCCCAGGAGGGCACATACACTCGGATATTGGGGTGGAGGGCATTAGGAAACTTTCATATAAATTACGCAAATGAAATTCGTATTGTCTATATCAAATGGCAATGGTCCTCGCACGGGCGAAAAAGTCGCCGTGCGACAGTTGCATAACTTTGACGCCGTACTCTACGGATTCTAGATTTTCGCTTGGAATCATTTGCGGGGTTCAACATGTATTTTTAAAGTCGCATGTAGGAGCGCGGCAGTCGTAGCGAAGAGGGAGAAAATCAATTTTTATTAACAGACTAGTTCGATAAATCATTGTGAAATTCGTTTTATTCGGAAGAGGGATTCTCGCTTAATCCTCTTTGTATGAAATATATATAAATCCTTTTAGCACTGGAAATTCCTATCTGTGCTAATGTGTGCGTGTGCGGCGCGTAGTTACTAATGCATGTATTATAATATACAATAATGAAACACGCACACGCGCACACACAGATGGACCGACGCACGCGCCCGAGAAAAGAGGCCCAAAAAAGCGGGTTATAACTGCAATACGCCCTGGGGCACGACATATATTCATATGTATAGTGTACAACATATATGACAAATACATTATTAAGCGAAGAGGGGGACTTTATATGCGCTCTCCATACACGTTTACCCACAGAAAGATTTTTAGCACAAAAGAGACGACGTCGACGACGACGAGCCGTTCTCTTTACAAGTGACACAGCTGCAGCACTGACGGAGATCGGGTATTACGCGTCCACACGTAAACACATACGTATATATGCACGTTCATACCGCATTTGCGATGAAGCAAGGAAAAAAGTCTTCGGGACTGAACTTCCGGAATTAATTTAAAAAAAAAACTCATCGCACGCTCATTCTTACTTGTCGTCATACTTTTTTTTCACAAATATTAAACAGATCGTGCCGCTGACGCGTGTTATTGTGTGCGAGCATGCGCTTCGCGCGCACCTCTTATACACATATTCGCACACTCGTACGCATGCATTTAATTGATCGCTCGCCCGTAGCAGTAGCAGCTAATTATGAAATCTCTGCTTGCATAATTTACACTGGTCTGGCATACATCTATTGCTGTTGTCTACACACTCAGGCACGTATAGTAGGTACACGTATATTTTATATGTGTTATTTGTATACATATAAGCAGGCGCGTCGCGCGCTCATAGACATCGTATTATTGTGAGTGCATATTTATATTATATGTGTAATGTTATTACGCATCTCGCTTTCTCTGAACGTGTACGTGTGCGTGTGCGTGCATATTTTTCCTTTTGCAGTAACGTTATATTGCTCTATTGCGCGCATTATATCTCTGTGCATCATCATCCAGTCGAAATATAAACGAAAATTTGGTTGCGGGCGCATCGCCGCGTGTATAATGAATGTGTACACGAACACATAGTAGTGGGTACACTATGCACTTGGCCTGGCCGAGCTGTATGTAGGATGGCGCGCATTTAATACGAGCGCACACACACCCACGCCAACAAAATTGATAGATGCGTTTCATTGGCCGACTGGATTATATTGTTGTTATTATTACTGTCGTAAATTTCGATGAGTTGTAATGCGTACTGTGCAATGTGCGAGTGGCTGGATCGCTGAGTGCGAGTCGAATATAGCAGAGGCCAGACAAGATCATTTTCCGAAAGGTTTTTTTATTTTATACGTATATACCGACCATCCAATGCGCTTTTCTACGTACTCATGCTCGAAAACCATCCAACGAATATTATTTAATGTAGATGTCGATACAAAAATTTTGAATGATTATTTCATAAAGAAAGTTGGTATGAAAAATTTTCCTTTCAAAGTCAGAAGAAAATAAGTTTCCACGCGCGCAATGCATAAATTTCTCTTGAGAATGAAAAAACGATTTCTTTCTTGCTCTTTACATGTGGCGGCGTCATGTTTTCCACGTTGTTGTAATAATATCTAAATAACGAGACTTTCTCGTTTTCTTGAAAAAAAGTTTCAAAACTTGCAATAACGTAAAAAAACCTCGGCACGGTCTTTTTATTATGATCTTGCAGAATACGGAATTTGGAGGGTTTTAGGATTCAAAAAGACTTTACTGATTGAATAAATAATAAAATAAAAACTATGTGTCGATAATGTTTGCGCGCACACGGCGAGGACAGCGAGTATATATATAATACGAGCCAAGCACGTACAGAACCTGGCATTATTATTACGCTAAAATCGAGTTGCAACGAAGAATAATACAAAATATTTTACTCGCTACAATTACGCTTCATGCTCCACTTGGCCTCGTGCCTTTGCAAAATCTCCTGCTCTCTCGTACATAGTGCGTGTGTATATATACTGTATAACAACTACAACACTCATCCGCATTACTATATATTCTCTCTTTTGCTCTTTATACATAGGTATACCCAAGCTCAGCACACACTGACATCCAGGCGCATGCATGTGCACATACTTGCGCGAGTATCTGCATGCACATACGGCCAACTTTATGGAAGAAAAGAGAGACAGAGAGAGAGAGAGAGAGAGAGAGAGAGAGCAATAAAAACATGTACACTGACGTTGCACATTATTGGCTTAGCCGGCGCGCCATCTGACGGTCCGAGACATAAGCCGTACTGAAGAGAGACGCAAAAATAGAGGCAAAAGAGGTATAAAAATTGTCAATAAATAAAAAACATAGCCATGTTCAACATTTTTATGAGTGAAAGATTCTTGCAATAAAACAAAGTTTCATTGTTTGAATTTCGATGCGAATCATTTAAACGACTACACGGACACTTGAGATATACATGTAAAAGGAATCGATGACAGTTAGATAACACTAACATTTTAGCAATTAATTACGGAACTCAATTGAGACACCGATTGATGGACATGTAGGAAAACAGCAAAATTAATTTATGTTTTGGAATTTGGAATCAGAAGTAAATATCAAATATTTTAGAGAATTCAATACATGAAAATTGCAGCCGAAGATTGAATGATTATAATTCAATAGAGATTTGTCGCGAATAAAATTTAATTTTTTATAAAACAATAAGAAAAGATTACAATGTTTTACAACAACCTTCGAAACGTGTGGAACAATCTCGACGAGTCAGCAGCAGCGCGAGCTGCACGCAATCCAATGAAAACCGCAATGAGATAGAGCTACAAGTCTTTTTTTCGATTAATGTAGCGATGTGACTTACTGGTCATCGTCCAATAGGTACTAAAAATAATCTCGCACATGTTCTCGCCTTGCAACGTTTTGGCCAACGAACGTGAAAATCCTCGTTTTGACCGGGTTTTTCGTATCGCCCAATAAAATGTAATTACTTCAGAAATTCGAGAAATCACGCATTATACGCTCGCGTGCGCGCGCTTATGCCTTATCGAGCGGGGAGATGGAAAGAAAGAACAGAAAGCGAAAGACGCACGTGAACAGCGGCGATGATGGCAGTTTAAATGACGAAGAGAGAAGTGCAGCGAGCTCTGCCGCTAAACACAAACGAGCGCCGGTCAATCAGGGTCACAGAGTCAGTGCACATACTCTATCTCTCAGAGTCTTTATAATAGTGAATATATATTATACATGCACTTACATTATACACATAAAGCTCGATATGTCGCATGCGCGCACGCGTTCACTCCAATGTGCAATCAATTAATGCCAGCGATAATTACACGAGAGAAAAGCAATTTTTAGCTTCCATTTGCCAATTT